AGAAAATGTGGCACATATACACCAGGGAATACTATGCAGCCATGAAAAAAAAAAACATGAGTTCATGTCCTTTGCAGGGACATGGATGAAGCTGGAAACCATCATTCTCAGCAAACTAACAAAGGAACAGAAAACCAAATACCATATGTTCTCACTTACAAGTGAGTGTTGAATGAGAACACATGGACACAGGGCGGGGAGCATCACACACTGGGGCCTGTCGGTGGGGGCTAGTCGAGGGATATCATTAGGGGAAATACCTTATGTAGGCGACAGGTTGACGGGTGCAGCGATCCACCATGGCACATGTATACCTATGTAACAAACCTGCACATTCTGCATATGTATCCCAGAATTTACAGAATAATAAAATAGAGGAAGAAGAAAAAGAAGAACAAGGAGGAGGAGACAATGAAGAAGCGGAAGAAAGAGAAAAAGAGGAAGAAGGAGGAGGAGGAAGAGGAGACGATGAACAAGAGGAATAAGAAAGAAGAGGAAGAAGAAGACAAAGGAGGAGGAGGAGGAGGGGGAGGGAAAAGGAGGAGGAAGGGAGGAAGAGAGAGAGAGAGAGAGAGAGAGAGAGAGAGAGAGAGAGAGGCAGAGAGGCAGATGTCTGGGGACTGAGGAAGGAGATATAAAACTAGTGGTATCAAAGGAGTTTCTAAAGAGATCCCAAGAGATCCAGGGTGAAGGAGTGTAGAGGGAGATTTCTATATAATCTATGAAAGCACCCAAAAGAAGAGACAACTTTAAATGTTTGTCATGGCCAGACATTCTCTTGTCTGGCCAGACCAGAGAAAACTATAAGATCAGCATCAGTGAGCTAAGAACTCTTCTGCTCCCCTTGTCTCTTTCTCCTTGATGGCTTCCAACACTGTAGGTATCTGCAAATGTGAGTAACAAGATATGAAATTAAGACTAGAAGTGCAAAGTGAGGGGAGATTAGAAGCCCCCTCTGTTCCACTGTAGGCAGTTAAAGTGAGAATTTCCCAGATTGGGAAAAATTAACTATTAACTTTCAGAGAGACTGAGTCAATAATCAATTAACCCCTGCCTTTGAGAAGTCAGTGTATATAGAAATCAAGGGTTTGATGAATTTGAATGGGTAAAAAAGTAGTTATGCATTTATTTTCTAGACTTCTAACTGAAATGTAGCTTCTCTTTTAATTATGAATGCAGGCAACACAACACAGTAGTATTGGCAGTACCTGTGCAGTTGCTTATCAGCTTAAGGAGATTTTGGGCTGAGACGATAGGGTCTTCTAAATATACAATCATGTCATCTGCAAATAGAGACAATTTGACTTCCTCTTTTCCTAATTGAATACCCTTTATTTCTTTTTCTTGCCTGATTGCTCTGACCATAACTTCCAGTACTATATTGAATAGGAGTGGTGAGAGAAGGCATCCTTGTCTAGTGCCAGTTTTCAAAGGGAATGCTTCCAGTTTTTGCCCATTTGGTGTGATATTGGCTGTGGGTTTGTCGTAGTTTCTCTCTCCTCCAAGTAGATAGAGAAAAAGAATTAAGTCTGTTCCCAGGGCTGGAGCAAGGATTTAGATAAGGTAGAGGAGAAAGAGAAAGAAAGAAAAAGAAGAAAGAAAGAAGGAAAGAAAGAAAGAAAGAAAGAAAGAAAGAAAGAAAGAAAGAAAGAAAGAAAGAAGAAAGAGAAAGAAAGAAAGAGAAAGAGAGAGCAGAAGGAAGGAAGGGAGGAAGGAAGGAAGGAAGGAAGGAAGGAAGGAAGGAAGGAAGGAAGGAAGGAAGGAAGGAAGGAAGGAAATAAGGGAGGGAGGGGAGCGAAACCTACCATAGCTATTTCCTCAACCTAGCTGCTGCTGCTCTCCTCTCCTCCCCTTGCATCCCAGCTGGGTTCTCCTAGCAGCTGTGATGTGAACCCTGTGAACGGCAAATTTACTGCTAGGGATTTTAGTAAACTTGTAATGAGAAAAAAACAGGAATTTTAATTCACAGCTTTGCATTCATGGCTATTGCATGTGTATGTATGATGAAAATTGATGTAAAATGTTATGTGCTTATAATTTCATAAATGCTTGAAGGGTCATCTCAATCAGGAAAAGCTGCAAAGAAATAAAAGTGTTAATGAAACACAGGTCCCTTGATTTTTTGCCAGAGGTGGGCGGATTGAAATTTATAGTCTTGGTATGGGAAGCAAGGCTCAATAATGGATGGTTTTGTTTTTGCTTTTTTTGGCCATAATTTTGCCTATTGGAGCCTCTGGAAAAGGGAGCCAACCTCCAAATGAAGACAGACACACGTTGGAGTTTTCAAAGCAGGTTTTAGAGGGTGGGGAGTTGTGGAGTTTTGTTTGTTTTTGCCAATAAGATCTTGTGAAATCAGATTTTTGACCCTTAGAGGCTGATTTTCTAGCCTGACATGCATATTTTCACATGGGTCAATTTGGACAACCTGACCTAACAGGGTAAAAACGTCCTTAGGAACAGCCTAGCCTATTACTTGGACTTGAAACTTGGGTCTTTGGCATATAGCATCTTAGCTTTGCTGCAGTTGCTGAAGAAAAGCCTCTAGCTTTTTTGCAATACTGAATTCACAGATCCTTATTCCCTAGACCTAACTCTCAGCTGAAACTTGATACTGCTGGCTATGGGCTATTTCAATTTCAGCACTGAGCTATGCTGAACTGAAAGTGGGCACAGGCTCAAAGAACAATTCAGTCTCTGGAACTGCTACAAATTTAAGACATCCCTGTGGGGTCACAGCTGTAAAACAATATGGATGCTGGCTGACCATCAGGGTCACCATCAGGTGCCCTAGAGAAAAAGTCTTGTTCTCAGATGGGACCATTAAAAATGGAGCTGATGATCAACTTGATATTTCCGATACAAGAGACTGATTGCCGCCCTAACTTGTGATTCCAGCCTAAAGCTGCAATTTAGGGAAGGGTACAACACAGGGTATGTGACCCCTCTGCCCACCCCTGATAGATCAGACTCTTAGGGTTGTCTCACGGCGGTTGACTTGTGTTCCACTTTCCAGGTTTGTTGCAGTTTGCAACAATGGACTGATAGCCTGACTTGACTTCCCTTGCTTTCTCCTGTTGTACACACCTTAGGAAGGCGGTTTGATCATCCAACGCAGCTGTCCTCAGAAAGGGATTTATTTTTGCTAGATGTTCACCAAATAAATGATGATCAGGAAAAAAGGCATGGGGGAAATGTAAGCCCATTTTGAAACAATATTGATAATCGGGATTTTGCCCTGACCACTTCCTGAACATGATAAGTTATATTAAAACGTTATTCTGTGAAAATGGTTTTGTCCCTCTTACACACAATCCTTCCAGAAGGTCTGGGTGAAAAAAAAAAAAGAAGTGATTAGGAAAAATTTTAATGTTAGGATTATTGAATGGGGCACATTGATTCTGTAGCAGTCAAGAAAAACAACCCTGACACCTGGGAAGGCTCAGGGGAGGAAGTAGGGCATTAATGATTTTTGCTTTTTGGAACTGCTGCTGGAAGCTTTCCCTAATTTCGAAGAAAACTCTTGTGCTGCTTTTGCAAGTGCTGCAGGCACTTTGGACTCAGACCAAGGACTGAGCCTAGATGCCACATGACAGCATGACTATGAGCTAGCAGCAGTGGGCCAGCTCCCACTGCATGTCCCCGCAGAACATGCCCAGATGCCATCTACACTCGCCAGGCAGATGAAGTAGTGTCACTGACAGAACTATTTGAGACTGACGGCCCCAGGCAGCCCCTCTAAAACCAGGGACTGAACTGAATTACTTTCACTGGACTGAATACCTTGGGGCAGGAGGCACCACGATGGGAGGCCACACTGGGGGCTGCCTGACTAATGCATATCCTGTTGGAGTGCCCTAACATTTTTAGCTCTTTGTTTGTAGAGGACCACGTGAGCCCTCCGGGATTATGTGTGTGTGTGTGTGTGTGTGTGTGTGCACTGTGACTATCATGACACTTGCTTTGGCCCTACTGCATTACTCTGAGATCCTGATTTTGAGACGATGTCCATAGGATTGAGCAGACTGCCAATGGGATCTGTACAAAAGGAAGTTTAAGACTTCCTGCAATGGGTTATTACCCTAGACTAGATATATTCATTAATAACAGGCAATTTATTGCCAATAAACAAATAGACATGTAGTAGCCTAGATTTCATCTGGAGACAAAGAAAAACTAGTTTTATGGAGTATGATTAAAGGGGCAGCAGGAGCTAACGATAAAGTTGCTTTATGATTTCATGCTATGCTTGTTCAATACACCAGTTACAAACATAATGTATCTAAAAGATGAAGTATAATTAGTGGTTTTATAATGATGTTGAGCTTTCTGGAACTATAATTCCTCCTTATAGAACATATGTTTCTTGTGGAATTTTAATTCCATAACTGTGTACAAAAAAAGATCCCCCAATAAAACAGAAAATCTTCTATTTCACTTTCAGGTGCCTTTATAATTACAGATTACCTCTTGACTCCAGTTGGATGCAAACTGGAGTCGAGAGTTTATCTGTAATTATAAAGGCACCTGGAAGTGAAATCTCTTCTGGAAGTTGCTCTATCTTCATTTCCACTTCCATCAGTCTTCCATACAGCTCATGTAAGTGGAAATGAAGATAGAGCAAAGTGATCTCCCACTGATACTGGCACATAATTACACTCAATGTCATGATGTTACTTCCAAAGATACCTTTTGCTTATGTTGGTGAGATTTTAATAGTTTTTGAAGCCTTACTTAAACCCTGCTAAAACTTTTTTCAATCAAGTTAATGGAAGACCTTAAAATTTATCACAACAGTATGTATAAATTTGATTTGAGCAGGTTCCATGAAATTACTAAACTTGTGAAAATAGCTTATTAGTGTAGTATCCTGCTATTTTTAAAAAAGATATACAGAGATATGTTACCTGTTGGCAAATGTCTTCTTTAACTATGGAACAGAGACATTTGTAACCGTCTGGAATAAAAGTATTTCTTTAATTGAATACAAAATGCTTTCCACGTAAAAATAATAGGAAAGTTTATTTTACAATATTTTACACTCTCTTGCCCACAACTCTTTATTCTTCCCTCATGATGAACTGCACTTCTGTGGCCCACGTGCCTTTATAACTTTGTACAGAGCATTTCCAGCATCATATCATCCATGCTCACTGTGCCAATGATGGGTCTGAAGAACAATTCAGCAATGACATTGGCATTGATGAATCTCAGCAGGAAAAGGGCACTATTCAGTTCGATGAATCTGTCATGCTGCCCTCTGTGCGTCATCCTGACGTGTTCACTGAGTATCTGCTGAGTTCCCCACTGGAGTCCCTGAATGTACTTCACACACTGCAGGCCCGGCAAGTCTGGAGGGAGAAAAATCGCTTTGTTTTAAAACAGCTCACTACAGACTCCTTTGCTAGCTTTTTAAAAATACCCAGTTCTGTCTTTTCCCAATTAAACAAGACCTCAAGCTTCCTGGTTAAAAGGGTAAAATGCCAATCCAGTCTAAGTTTTCAGGAGCAGCATGTCCAAGAATGAAACATCATGTGATCATTCTTACTTAATACTCACTATGTCTGTATGGACACGTTTGCAAATACACTGGCCATGAGCCAACAAATGCACACAATTTAATATGACAGTAGAATATAGTTTAACGAATCATCACTCCAGTCCACTTTCTATGCAAATATGAAGACGTTCATGATATTTCAAGAGGTAAGCACTTTACCTATGAGAAGCAAGAAGTGTTGCCAGATGACAAATGTTTTTACTGTTCTTCCTCTAATCTCCCACCATTATACTGATTGTTCAGCCAATGGTGGTAAACTTCACAGCCACAAACTTTGACACCCAGTTTCATTTTGTCTGTTTGCCTGCAGGCCAATATTAGTCTAGAGACCTGCATAATTTGAAAGCTAACACTGGCCACTTAGCTCACTGTACCATGATTTCTGTATTGGCGAAGGCTTTGAAAACAAAATAGAAGAGTGATTCTAATGAGTGTTCCAAAAGATTCTTTTCAAAAATATCAAAGGAAGAAGTTTTTGAACATTGTTACAGTCATTAAAAGGTTAAAAATAAACATGAAAACATCATGAATTGCACCGTGATTCAAAAAAAACTTTCATAATAGAAAACACATGACCTTTTGCAGTACAGTGCAATACCTAAGTAAAAGTAAATGAAATACAATGCAGGAAAGTTTAAGTGCATGTAAGTTGTTATAAGAAAAATAATAAGAGGAGGCTGCTTTGGAAGTTCCTGTGACTTTCCATGATAACAATATCATTGCAAAGTTCTTTAACTTGTATTCAAGTAATTAGCAGTTGACCACCTGGTTTAAATGATGTTAACGATGATTGCAATCATTTTCCTTACCTTTTCCTAAAAAATTCAACAGAAAAGTATTTGAAAAGCACCATGCTAATCATCACAGAGCAGCGGAACCAGTGTTCTTTAAAATAATAATAATAATAATGGCAATAGGCAAGAGGCACTCTTATTGTAGGCAAATATAAAACCCCATAAATAAAATAAGAACAAAAATAAAGCAACAATTATAATCCATATTCCAATTTTCATTACCCTAGTTCACACATTATCATCTCTTTCTACCTGCAGCTGAAGATCCAGGCTTAAGACCCAATTTTGTTGTGTTTGACTTCCATTGATGAAAGTAGGAAGAAGCTTGCATGAAACTCTACCAGAAATCTGAAGTTTCTCTTGGTCTAGATTCCTGGTTTGTGAAAACTTCATCTTGTGAATGCCATGTTACTTTTCTCTGTGTTCACAATATATCCCTCTACCTTCCCCTGACCCAAGTGGTCCCCCGCCCCCACACACAAACTGGCCTTCAAAATAAGTTCAGGGAAGAGAAAACTCAAATGGACCCCACAGTTTTATATCTCGAGTTTGAACCCATATAGGTTTAAGCTTACATATGGGCTATACAGAGGATAAACAGCAAAGAAAGGCCACACTCTTACTAGGCATTACCTTTCTCCCAAATGTAGGTACGTTTGTGTTTTAAACACCCCCAGCTTAGCTGGTTAAACTCATATTGAGAGAGGATTAGGAAAAGTCGACCAAGAATAAGAAAGAAGTGTGTGTGTGTGTGTGTGTGTGTGTGTGTGTGTGAATTATATAAAACAGGGAAAGAAAAGAGGGAAAGTATTGATACTGAGACCATTGGAGTGTAAATTTCTGGAAGCTGAGCCCCTGTCACCTTTATATCCCAACAGGACAAGGAACGCAGTGGATGATTAAAAATGGCTGAAGGAGTATGGAGACTGTTTTCTAAATTATCTTAAGAATCATCTGGGACACTTATTATGAATGCAGATTTGCAGACCCTGGGCCAAAGCTAGTGAATCAGAATCTATAAGGCAGGAGCCTGGAAAGACTTTCATCTATTGCCTCCCACCCCCAGCCACACACACAAGTACTCATTATGCACAGGCAAGTTTGGAAAACAATGGTATAAGCAAAAAGATAATCTGTAATAGTCACTGGGGTAAGCTGAGGTCTCTATGTCATGAAAAGTGAAGTTTGAATGAATTATTATCCCACCAAATACTTATCTATACACCTTCAAAAATGCTAGGCAGGGGGCAGGAACATAATCACAGACTCCAGCATCAGGGAAAAAAGATACAGAAGGAGCATTATAAAAACTAGCCCCACTCAAGTTGCCTGGAAAATTTTGTTCCCACTTCAATCATTTGAAAAGATGTTGGTTGAAGATTCTAGTAGCGAGAAACACCCAAGACAAGATGCCTGGCTGTCCAGGGAGACGTTCCTCCAATGATTTTGGTTGCATTCTGTGGGACAGTGTGTCTAGCACCCAACAGACAGCCTGAAAGCTTGGTGCAGCCGACATCCCATTGGGCCCAGAAGATAGGACCCTCAGGTTCCACAACACACCAGCCATTTACTCCGGAGTAAGGTCACTTGGAACCTTGGGACCCAACTACCTACTCAGTAAAATGGGGTGGGGGAAGGCTACAGAGAAAAGGGGGTTGATTAGGAGGTCTCTAAGGTCTCTTTGAATTCTAAAATACAGTGCTCCTGCTCTCAGTCCCTAATGTGTCTTTTTTTCCCCTATCCCCTTACCAACCTGATATTATTCACAGAAATTTGGAGGAAGGGATAGTCCAGATGCTTAGGACCATACAAATAACCATTCAGAGGCAGGCCCATGAAACACTACATTCAGTGTCCTGCCTGACAGTGTCCCTAGAGAATGGTGTCTCTATGGGACCTTTTAACAAATGTTTCCTTTTTCGCTAGCCTTAATAGATTTCCTCCCCCCAAAAGAGGTTCTAGTAAATTTCAGAATGGGGTTTCAGAAATAGATGTTGCAGAATCTTCAGTGAGCAAAAGCTTAAAAAAAAAAAAAAAGATATGCTCTAGACTTAAAAGAAAACTAGAGAAGAAAGAATAACCATTTCCCATGAAGACACAAACCTTTCTATTGTAAGAAATGTGTCGAGAGCTAAGTACAAACCTAAACAACTTCCCTCCTCTCCGCTGAGTTTCTGACCGCATCCCACCAAAAAGAAGCGGTTCCTGGAGCCCCCCACCCCAACTCTGCTGAATTAGTCATGATTTCTTCACCTTTGCCCCGACACTCTCCTGATCACTGAAATCTCCTTATTGCCTGCACCCCTAGATAGGCACTGCCCGATGCTTTTGTGAGGTGGGAAAAGCCGGCGCCCAAGGCCAGTACCCTTACCCGGGTTAAAGAGCACGGTCCCCTTGAGGTAGGCGTACTCCTTGGTACTGATTTCCAGACTCCAACACTTGGTAAGAAAGCACTTGATGGCTTGGACCTGGGAGGCGGAAGGCACCTGCCTGGCCTCCGCCGGCGGTGCCAAACGAGGCTGAAGCGTGGAAATGGGCAGTGGGTCGTCGCCCCCCGTCTCACGCCGCCTGGTGGTCAGGATCTTCTGAAGCATGCTGGGCTCTGAGGTTTCCACAGTCTCGAACTGCAGGTGGTCCTGGGCCAGCTCCAGCATGAGCAGGGGTGCCCAGCAGTTACGCACCAGCACTAGCTGCTGGTCCAGGGGCAGCACCTGGAAGCAGGGCAAGTACTTGACGAAGCGCAGCGTCTTCAACAGGCCCGCTGAGGCTGCCTCGCAGACCACCTGTGGATTCTTGAGCACCACGGGTCGCAGCGCACCACAGGAGATGTCCCACCAGGTGGCCCCCGGCCGCTCCCCCAGAGCCGCGGGCATTTGATTTGTGCTCGTGGGCATGCTGTAGAGGGAGCTACCCTGCTGCGGATGGTCTTCACCACAAAAGCAGCAGCGGTACAGAAGAGCCATGGCCTGCCTGCCTGATAGCCCCTCTCTAACCCCTGGCCTCTGCGCAAAGTAGGAGCGGTCCCACCATGCGCCCCCTGGCCGTGCCTCGGGCGCTGCCGGAGCCACGTGCGTTTGCTTTGCGCTCGTGAGCAAGCTGTAGAGGATGCTGCCCTGCCGCGGGTGGTCTTCACCGCAAAAGCAGCAGCGGTACAGGAGCGCCACGGGCCGCCCACCCGGGAGCCCCTCTCTGCCCACCCCAGGATCAGAGCCGCAGGAACAGCCCCAGCACGGACCCAGCCTAGCCTCGGGCGCCTTCGGTGCCGCGGACGTCTGCTTTGCGCTCGTGAGCATGCTATAGAGGATGCTGCCCTGCCGTGGGTGGTCTTTACCGCAAAAGCAGCAGCGGTACAGGAGCGCCACGTTCCGCCCGCCCAGCAGCCCCTCTCTGCCCACCCCGGGCTCATCGCCGCACGAACAGCCCCAGCACTGATCCCCCAGCCGCGCCTCGGGAGCTTCAGGAGCCGCGTGCCTTTGCTTCGCGCTCATAAGCATGTTGTAGAGGATGCTGCCCTGCCACTGGTGGTCCTCGCCCGCCATGGCCCGCGGCGCCGCAGCCCAGTTCTGCCCAGTGGCTGCCGCCTGGGACCTATTTATACCTAGCGCGCACGCAGGCGCGTCGGCCGCCTCGGTCTGGGCAAGGGCGCGGAGGCGGGCAGGGGGGCGCGGCGCTGCTCTCCGGTGTGTTCGCCCGTGACCACGGTGGTTCGAAGGGGCGGGTGCTCCTTAAAAGCTGGAAATGAAAAAGGAACAGCAGCGTGGGAGCTCCTGGACACTTCCCTCCTTCCTCTCATTACCCCTTTCCCTGTCTCTGGAAGACCGCGGGAGAGTGAGCGCCTGGACGCTGTTGCAACACTTTCCGTTGAACCCTCGCATCTCCTTTTTTTGGGAGGGCAGGGGTGCCTAAAAGAGGAAACATCTACTTCTATGCTCCTTGTAAACTTTCATTAAATGATCACAGTTTGTGTGACTTATATTTTGTATATGGATAGGGAGGTCTCATTTTCTGAGACCTTGAGAAATATAGAACGTAGACTAGCATCATATGGGCAGTCGGTGGAATTGCCCAATTTCAGGCTCCAACCAGACCTTCTAACTCTGAATCTGCATTTTAACGATGTCCCCAGGGATTCACATGCACCTTGACATTTGAAACGCACTGGTCTAAATATGCTATCATAAGCGCTCAGTTTAATATCATCAGTATTTATAAGCGCCCACTATGTCCTAGATGCTGTGTTAAGAGAGCTGGGGGCAGCGAACAGGATATGAAAGTGCCTAAAACTTGGGAACATAATATAATCACAAGGGGATAATATTGTCACAGTGAGAATTGTTTTTATTTTAATACAATTTTTTTCTCTTAACTTTTAGGTTCAGGGGTACATGTGCGGGTTTGTTATATGTCAATTTTTGCTTGTTGTGGGGGTTTGGTGTACAGATTATTTTGTCACCCAGGTATTAAACATAGTACCCAGTATTTTTTCTCATTCTCTCCCTCCTCCCACCCTCCACCTTCAAGTAGGTCCCAGTGTCTGTTGTTCCCCTCCTAGTGTCCATGTGATCTCTTTACTTAGCTCCCACTTATAAGTGAGAGCATATGATACTTGCTTTTCTGTTCCTGTGTTACTTTGCTAAGGATAATGGCCTCCAGCTCTATCTCATTCTTTTTCTTGACTGCAGTGAGAAATTTTGATTCTTGTAAAAGTAATTCGGTAAACGTGTAATTAGCATTTCTTTTCTCACCCTTCCTAAGTGAATAATGATAAGTACAAGCATGAGGAAGCCTGGATTCATTGGTCTTCACTTGCCACACAGCTGTGAAGACATGGGGCAGGGAAGGGTATTGGTATATTCCAGCTTGTATAGAATCCCTTTTACTTTTTCCCTCCATCCCTTCCTCCCTCTTTCTTTTCTTTTTTTGTTTTTCATTTACTTCCTTCCTTCCCTCCTTCCTTCCTTCTTTCCTTCCTTCCCTCCTTCCTTCTTTCCTTCCTTCTTTCCTCCCTCCCTCTCACTTCTTCTCTCTCTCTGTCTTTCTTTCTCTGTTTTTTCTTCTCCATGACCTGGAATTCTCAGCATATGAGGAAAACCTAAGAGACGCCCATTTTGCTTGCAGCATAGAATTTTATTCTGCGTGTGAGAGGCCCTAAATAGCACAGTAGTTAAATCCGTGGAACTACCGCTAGATTGCTTCAGTTTTAATCCTGGCCCTGCCACTTTGTAGCATCATAACCTTGGGCAATATATTAGTTTTCTTGTTGCTGCTTTACTTACCACAAATGTAGTGGTTTAAGTCAACACAAACAACACAAATTTTTTTATGTTGTAATTCTGGAAGCCAGAAGTCTGAAATCAGTTTCACATAACTCTGACCTCTGCTTCCATCTCCTTCGCTGATTCTTATAAGAATCTTTGTGACTATAATAGACCCACTCAGATAATCCAAGATAATATTCTCTATCCAAAAATTCTTAACTTGATCACATATACAAAGGCCTTTTCATTCTATAAGATAACAAACGCACAGGTTCTAAGAGTTAGGACATGGACATCTTTGGCCATTATTCGGCCTATCACAGGAATGTTACTTAAACTCTTTGTGACTCAGTTTCTTCATTTGTCAAACATGCACAACAGTGTCTGTGAGGAATCTTTATGCATGAGTTAATATGTGTAAAGTGTTTAGAATAATGATTTTTTTTTTTTTTGAGACGGAGTTTTGCTCTTGTTACCCAGGCTGGAGTGCAATGGCGCGATCTCGGCTCACCCCAACCTCCGCCTCCTGGGTTGAGGCAATTCTCCTGCCTCAGCCTCCCGAGTAGCTGGGATTACAGGCACGCACCAACATGCCCAGCTAATTTTTTGTATTTTTAGTAGAGACGGGGTTTCACCATGTTGACCAGGATGGTCTCGATCTCTTGACCTCGTGATCCACCCACCTCGGCCTCCCAAAGTGCTGGGATTACAGGCTTGAGCCACCGCACCCGGCCTAGAATAATGAGTATTATGTGGTAAGTGTTGGATGTATCAACCATTTTAGGACAACGTGGAATAAGTGCAGGGTTAAGAGGTGTTCCTGTACCAGCACTGCCACATTCTGTCTGTCCTAGGGAAGACTCACACACACACAGTATCCACCCAGAAGACTTTATCCTACTTTTTCTGCATGTCCACATTTCTTGAACCAGACTCAAAACACTGGTTGGGTCACCTGGTTAACAAAATATTATGTATTGGCAATGTTGTCTCATTGGCTATTTCATTATTTGCCCTTTCCAATATTCAAGCTACTGTTTGGGGTATCATCATTATTGCTCCAGCAGTATCATGGCAGTCTTCACTTGCCACACAGCCTCACCCCTTAAGTGCCACATAGGCACTGAGATCAGTGGCTTAATGAACCCACCAACCAGTCTAGCTGAAAATCCAGCTGACGTTAGTGCCTACCTTATGTCGCCAGAGCTAGTCACAATTTCATTTTTTTCCCAGCACCTGATAGGATTTATTTAGTTAGTTATTTGATGCTTGCTGATTTTGTCCCCTTCACTAATATAAACGTATTCTGTATCATATCCCAGCTATTAGAATGATTTCTGACGCATAGTAGGTGCTCAAAAAAATATATTTGTTGGCAAACTGTACCTTGAGAGAGAGAACGTAGAAGCCAAACGTTCCCACCCAGCTATCTCTGTACTGACCCTGGAGGGAGGACAATGTAGCAGGCCTTGTTAGACTCAGCATTTTCTGGATGCCTGTTTTGCTACTCAGAGTGCTACAAGGACTGTGGTAAAGTAACAGGAAAAGTAGGTTAACAGTCAAAAGACCTGGCCTTGAATTTGGGTTCTTCCACTCTAACAAAATATTAAACAAGTCATTTAACTGCACCCTTCTTGTTTCTGAAATGGGGACAAAATTCTATGAACCAAAATTAATATGTACTCTCTGTTCTAAGTCTGTAAGAGAGTTTTTTTTTTCTCTTAACATAACCATTTTCAGAAATGTTTGCTGACTCTACTATTGCATTGGAATATAAATAAACAAGTTTACACTCATTTATTTTCTAATGATTTAACTTTGGGCAAAGTATTTAACATTATGTTAGCCTTTTTGTCTAGGAAATAAGCAGTGCTATAAGCTAGTTTTAATATATGCACCTTGGTCCTCCTATATTTTACTAGATTTTTTCATCTCATCAACTAGATTTTTTTAAATTCTAGAAACATTTTCTGTAAGCAATCATTCCCACCTCATACATATCTGACGCCTTGAAATTTTAGGCATTGTTTGAGATTGAAACTTAAGTGCAGTGCTGAGAACCATGAATTTGTAATATATTGGTTATAGTTTCTCTTCTCAGGGGCTGAGTCTTCCGATTCTCTTACTTGTGTTTTCTGTCAAGTTACGATCTTCTATTTGCAACTCTGAAGGACCTTCCAGGTCCTCTGGATTGACTTTTTCTAAGAAGAGATTGCCTACTTGTCCTTCACGAGCATTCATCCTTGAAAACGTCACGAGAAAACTGACTTCATCTTTCCACTTTCCATTTTTTCCCCTGAACAAATAGCTCCTGAAAAACAAAATCTTCCAAACACACCAGAGCAGAGATTTGCACAGATTAATGCCAGCCTGCTGGTTGCTACAGGATTAGTGAAGACATAACCTTCTAAGGCATGCACAGCCTTTTTCATTTGATTTGTTTTGTGTCCTCAGACCACGGTGACACCTAGACAAAAGGACACTTATCAACTGCACCTGTCATGTGCTGAGTTTGTCCACAACTGCAATTTGGATATTTACACTGACTCATTGTGCGATGACCTTGGCCAGTTGGACACCTGTTCTGCGGAATCCATTATCTGTTCCAACTCAGGGTGGGAGTAAAGCTGCTCTGTCTGCCTGAATGCAACCTTCAACTTCAAAGTAATACAGTTTTTACTAAAGGATGTAGGAGTGAAGTACAGGTGGGGATAAAGCTGGGTAAAATTGTAAAATTGACCTTTGCATAGCAAGCTGCTCTTGACCTGGGAAGCCACGGCGATTTGAAACATGATATGAATTTTTACTCTAGGCTTAAAAGAGCTACAGTACCTTTGAATTCAGTTCCTTCAGTACAGGTGACAGGGAGTAACAATAGTGTTTGCCTTGTTTTTCAAAGTAAATATCAGGTAAACACTATTGTAGATAAATACTAGTTGATAAAACCAAGAGATAGCCTTTTACTTTTCCCTAAGACCCAGAATGTCTAAAGCTATATTTATGAAAGAAATAGTAGGCTTTAGGTGATTCATGAAATCCCTAAAAAAGATCAAATCGTTATTCTGATTTCTTCTGATGAACGACAGTGAAGTTAACCAGCTACATTAGGGGTCACAGAATTGCTGATCTGGAATTGTGACTCTAATAGTTACTGTAATCCTGAAATGTTCTAAAATAAGCTTTCCAAATCAGTCAACCAACCAGTTTACTCGAGGCAAAATTCAGTTCTATTTGTTTTTCTGAATCTACCAATTCTAAATCTACCTCAATACCAAATGTTCATGATACTATCTAATTAATAAATTTAATGGACTGGCAGGTTTAAAAATTATGGCCCCATTGATTTGATTGGTCAGTTTGAAAAGCATTTCTCTATTGGTGCACATAGCTCGTTCTCTGATGGCAATGATAATTTTAGTTAGAAACTCCCTCCTTCGGGTCTGGAATTATTCTAATATTATCCTCCTAAAAATTGCTTTGTTTTCTGCTCCAACTTTTCTTAGCAACTT